CGAGATTATCACACCTAAGAAAATATCGATCCTGAGGCTTTAAGAAAATCCGATGCCAGACCTAAACCACGAAAGTTTAAGAGATCGCTTAGATCACATTTTGTAGAGAACATTTTAGGCTATCATATCTATATGAGAAGTATAGGGATCACTCTGGTAGATCCTGGAACCACGACCTACTCTTTCAAAGACTAATAAGGTATACCACCTGCAAGTGGTATTTTCTGAGATATTTTTATGTCAACTTGCAGCTATTTATCTCCTCTATGAAATGCTGAAAATCCCAATGCTTTGAAGTACATTGTTCAAAAGTTATTAAAGAAATAGCCACGGGCATTCATTTTTAATAATATATGAGCTTTTAATTCATATAAAAGCCCATGTATGAAAAAATCTCGAAAAAAAACCCACATTCATGACAAATTAAAAAACATAATACAGGATTTTGTAGCGTTTGAGTAGCTGATTCGAATGATATATTAGTCGTTATATTTGAGCAAAAGGGATTGAAGAAAAAAATAATGCAAACGACCAGACTACATTGAACTGGTATCAGTTTTAGGGAAAAAATTTATAAAAAGTCTGTTAGATAGAAATTTTTTCTTCCTTTATTACACACATAATAACTATGAATAATTGTGCATCTAAACATACTTGAACCAAATTTTTGTCATTATTCCTGAATGACTTATGAAATATCGAAAATCAGTCGCTAGAGCGAAAATTTTGACCAAAGTCCAACGTTAAAAAATTCATAACTTCACCAATATCCATAGGACCGCCGAAATTTCTTGAAGATACATAGTACTCAACACGCTCTACAAACTGGCATAATTTGAGGATAGGTTTGGGGGTGGTTACCCCCCTCCTTAATCATTTGTTCAAAACCTAAAAACTATTGCAACAAATAGAAGAAAAAGCCAAATAAAAATAACTTCTTTTCAAAACTTAAACATAAAAGAAGACCGTTACGTGAAATAGCCTATATTAAGTTCAAATTTATAAGAGAACGAATGATCAGACAGGATTTATCATTAGTTTTTTGATTTCGTCATATTAGACGTTTATTGAGACGTACGATCATGTCGGAAGATGAATACAAGATCTAAAGTGCATACTGAATTATATCTAATATAAGTGTCACATTGATGTTCTTCGACAAAAAAACAGAAAGGCGATATTTTCTTTTCATTGTGAAAAACGTACTTTAACCTTCAAGTTTCGGATAATTTTGCGTAATTTTCTTTTCTACTATATAAAAAAATATAGCTATTTTTTCTTTCTTTTTCTTCTGCCAGCATGTCTATGAATCTTTTGCTCGTTCGTCATTGTAAAAAAAGAGAAAAAAAGTAAAATAGCTTCATATAAAAGAAAGTGCATTCTACTTTCAGTCAGTTTTATTAATCTATTTTTAATTAGTCTATATTGCTGTAATACTATGCTTTTATGTTGTAGATATTAAATTTTTGAATGTCAGAAGCACGTACACGAGTTTTTTGTGTGTGCTTTTGAAAAGTAAGTAAAATGATGAGGTTTTAATCCTTTCTTTGTAATATTCAAACATAAAATGATTTTAAGACAGCTGAAAGGCAGTATAATTTATTATTACAACGTGAACAGCATATTAATTATACAACAAAATAATCGTACAAATTAGAAGGATAAAATCAGTATTATGTATTTATAAACTTTATTATATATAGAGTACGTAACATAAGTTCATTTTCTAAATATGATGGTAATATCCTCTTCATAAATGTCGGAATTTTTGTTTCTAATTTAAAAGTTATTATCTTGAGAACCTTTCTCTACGATGAAAAAAGAGTCAGGCAGTTTATTTGAGATAAAGTAAATCGCAATTCAATTTCGAAAAAAACGCATTGATTTGTGCTGCAAATCAAACTTAAAACTCACCGCTCATTTGAGATATTGTTTTATACTTCGACTGTTCCCATCAAAACACTCTAATTTATATCTAATAAAATCAAATAGTTGCTAAACGTAACGAAAATTAAGATGCAGAAGATAAATAGCATAAGGACAATTTTCGACAGGAATTTAAAAGATGTTATGAAAACAACACAATGAATTCCGTTATAAAAAGTTCCTATAAATAAAGCAGAATTTGATTTATTAGAATCATTTTAGCCGAACGAAAGCCGTCTAGTCATATAGTGGTCTGTATCGTGACGCTTTTGGAACATCTCTCTTATTTTTACTACATGTTAGTGGAAATCAATTAATAATCCGTATCATGAAATTCTTTACGTATGACCCATGGAGAAATTTTACGAGTGTTCACGGCTAGTAGTAACCTTATGAGCAACGACAGTCTGGTAGCCAATACAACATTCATGCACAACTGAACAATAAGAATAATCACAGCCAACATGACGCTCATCATCTATTTCATCAAATCCATTTTAAGGAAAAACATAAATTACATAAATTAAACATCGTTCAAAACTACAACAACCAAAATAAGATCCAGCATCCAGCATTCACCATTCATCTGAGCAGAATTCAACAGCCATGTCTGATTTTATGTTACAATTAATAATAACAAAATTACCAATGACTTACCAGCATTCTCAAGGACAGCACTGGTTGAGTTTGATTTTTTCAAAATCCGAAACATTAGAATACGATGAATCTAAATGTCGACAGTATGCGTCATAACAATCAATTGGTAATGCATAAGATTGATACATACCATAAGGACATAATATGAATGATTGAGATTCATTTCAAGATGGATTTCTTCAAAGATTTCCACCGCAACAACTATCTGTTTCACAATATAGTGCGCATGGTTTGTTTTTGGAATAACGTTTTACAGAAATGTGCTAAAACTGTGCGGTTTTCACTATTGGACAACCAAGACTTCACTGCATCGAGGTAGTTGTGGCGCCCGTTAAAACCATCACCTGCAGGTGTATCACATCGCTCTCTGAAAGAGTAGAGTCCCTACCCAAGAACAAAAAACATCCTTTCAACTCTCATAGTAGATTCGAACATCCAATCTTCCGACTACAAATCCACTAAAGGCCGAGACCTCCATCTATCAACATTACCATATGGCACGAATGCCCCGGATTTAGTGATCTTCGACTGGAGAATCTTAAAAACATACGGAAACATAGATTATAGACTAAAATTCATAACCTCACTCGAAATCGATCGAGACTACTTTAGAATATCAAGACATATTCCATGTGATCTGCTCCGTGAAGTTCAATAAACGTTTTAAAAACCAACAAAAAACACTATGGGTTTTGAAAAGGTTTTCCAAATATCTTCGGAAGTAATAGAATATTTTTTATCAATTTTGAGTATATAGTTAGCTGGATCAGATAAAATGGAGCATATATTGATATTATGAAATAGAAATAGAAATCGATTCATTGAGTGAATTATGAGCATTTGGCTAAAACAATGAAAGCCGCACATTTTTAGCACGCTTCTGTAAAACGTTATTCAAAAAACAGACATGCACACTGTATTGCGAAAAAGATAGTGCAAACAATCAATTTATTATTAATGTTGCAGATTCAAAATAGCAAACAAGATCCGAATAAATCATTTACAATAATATGATGAAATTTTGTAAACAATATAGTTCACAAAGTAATTAACAGTGTGTAGATGCAAGAATAGCTGATGTTCAAACAATATCATCTGTACTAATCAATCAATCTCTACAGCATACCACTGAACCCTCATTATTCACAACAACAAGACAGCAGATATCAAAATTATTCATATCCACATCAACAATAACATCATCAGCGTCCACAAAATCGTCGTTTACAAAATTGTAATTATTCTTATTCTTATTCCCAATAGCAAAACTATTCATCTTCATCTTCGCAACAACAGAGAACAACAACATTCGTCAAAATCTTCAGGATCTTATGTGTTTCAATCGTGGAGCTGTTGGGCATTATTCCACACATTGCCACAGTCCAAAAAATTAGCAGTAGTGGAATAGTGCGGTAGCTTCTATTATACCATTCAAAACTCCATCATTGATCTTCGTTAATATCCTGATGAATAACAAGAGAATTAAAATAATAATAGATACAGGTTCTATTAAATGCACAATTACAAGACAAACTTTACAGCGACTCCATCATCAAAAAAATTGAATAAACAAGCATTTATACTATACTGGAATGATGCTAATACAAAACGCAACATTTGTAGTGAAGTGATAAAACATGTTAAAATCAATCATGTTACAATGTGTTCGAATAAATTATTATATTTTTACAACATTGAGTGAATATGTTGCCACAAATTATTGATATCAAATATATACAAGGAAAAAAGAATGCTGTTGTTGATTATCGATCAATGCGTCGTTCACCAGATATCAACAAAAACCATCACGCAAATGATGATTGTGCAAAAGGATTTGACACATAGCATGATGATGTCATAATACCAGAAATTCAATTAGTTGAACAACAAGTAGTCTGTGGGAAAAGATCAAGTTTTTTTTCTAGAAAATTTTTACAACATCAACATTCAGAATCGACTAGTAACCTATCATAGTAACCTCTTCCTATTCATAATAACACTGTTCTTAGATGTTTGTGATAGTCAACGCTACTTTAGTATTTTACAGATAGTTCTTTTCCTCTAATAGCTGATTCAGACTTGAAAAAGTTGAACCATGTTGAGCAACCATTGCGATAGTTTTTTTCAGAAAATTCACCTTTGATTTCGTTACGAGAATTAGCATTTTCACCTCTGAATTAATACATATATTTTAAGAAGGTCAGCTTCGTCGAGAGCTGAATGTCGATTAACGCTTTCTAATAAAAACAAGTAAATGGAAATAACTGTTATTATTCCACTCTTTCTCAGTTATGCACTTGAAGGGTGTTGAGTAAATGCTTCGCTCTTCTAATCGGCAGTGACTTCTTCCTTATTATTCCACTTGTAAACGCTATATACATCTCTTTTATTTTTGCTTGTATTTCAGATCTAATAAAATGTCTGTTTGCGAATATACTGTTGAAAAAGTGATTAATAAACGTTTTGCTGAAAATCGAGTCGAATACTTACTGAAATGGAAAGGTTGGCCGAGTACACACAATACCTGGGAACCTGTTGAAAATTTGAATTGCGAAAATTTAATAAAAGAATATGAGCGCAAATCAGATAAACTTCAAAACGCAGAATTAAAAACAACAACCACAATAGACATCCATAATAACCAAGTTCCGGCGGAAGATGATATTGTAATAACAACCATATCTTCGAATACTGGTAATTATAAAGAAAGTAATCGTCGTTTATCAAAAGAAAAGTCATTAACACGATCAAAAGTTAAAAAAGATACTCCATTTAATGGCAAAAAACAATTAGACAAGATTCTTAGTCTAAGACAAGTCGATGCTAAATCGAATAAACTCGAATTTCGATGTAAACTGCGCGGAGTGAAACGGCCAACATGGGTGTCAAATAAAATTGTAAATGAACTTTATCCAACAGATGTAATACATTTTTATCAACAACTCTTAAAATTTGACGTTAGAGGTAAATCAGAATAGCACAAATTTTGTTGTTACAATTGCGAGAATTTGTTGTATTCGACAGATCTGAAAATTTTGAGAGTATCCTTGTTCGGTGCACAAGTTCTTTATAGATTCTGTATAAAATCTATAAACCAGAACTATATACCTATATACTAGAAGTATATACTTCTGGTGGAATAAATATACACGTATATTTGAATAGGAGTGTCTTAATAAATACACAGAACAAGTAAAATTTTCTTATTGAATACACGCTATTTCTCCACGCTGTAAATTTGTAGAACGACCAGGTTTTCAAGATGACTCGACATTATGTTTCGACGCAAAAAATCTTCCTGCATTCGGGCACACATTTCATTGAATTTCCTTTTTTATTTAGACGAGTTAGGTTATCGTGATACTTTCATTCTGTTCTTCTATTTTACTCTTATATAATCCAAGTATGGATCTATATATAGTAAATTGTGTTTTCTCTTCTCCATAATGATCATGTGTAGAACGAGTCAAACTTCTTTATGTGAGGTCACAAAAAAATATTAATGTCAAGTACAGCAATATATCTTACTTGTTCAGCATTTTCAATAGTAAAGTTTTATAACTCAATAAAATCTTGTTCTGTAGTTCTAAAAATGTTTCCACAGAGACAACTGGATGAGCTCTACAAATTGACCAAGTCAGAATCTCTTGATTCGCAGTTTCTTGATGAGTGTCTAGAGACCGGACTTCTAAAAATCCATTCGGAAACTCAATAAGGGAACAAACGGACATTAGATACTTTGAACCAAAACAAAACGTCCATTTCTAAGATATCGCAAGCTGCTTTTGGGCTAAAAATGGTGGCAGGCTGGTTAGTATTGGAGTAGGAGCTGGTTAGTATCACACCAGATTTCTAACAAATATACCTCGTACATTGTTTTTGATGAGATCGCCACAAGCGAAGTTTTTGTACCGCCTTCTATCTTTAAAATATGTGTATGATAGGTTGGAGTGTCTTCTATCGATCCGTGCAAGGATGAGCCGCCAGAGCGGTTCGTTAACAGGAGAGATTTTGATACCAGCCTATCTCCTTTATTCTCGATTGAGAACCAATTACAAAGCAACCAATTACAGACAAAACAGTTCTAACGAGGGAACCTTCTCAGGTGCCCAACGCCGATTTCAATGATCTTTTGCCAATAGATACTGCTCAATGTCTTAGTAAAAAGCCAAAGGATTTGGGTTCTTATTGTTTCCTGCGACAGTTATCGAATTTTTTTTGAGGTTTTCCTTCAGAGCCTTAAAAGACTCAATATTTTAGTTTCATAAAGTTTTCTTTCCTTTCGTATGTATTCAAAATTTTTTCTTATATATATGTTCGGCACGTACTACCAAGGCACGGTGTTCGAGCCTCAGCGCCACCAGACATAGAATGACCCTAGACAAGTCACTAACGGCTATTTGTCTGGGATCACCCATACGATAGCATACTAACTACATGGTTGACATACACCGGTCCTTGTGGCTAGTATGTGGTTAGTCAGTGTGTACGGGGAGTTCAAGTGATTGAGCGGGAGAACTCTGAGTCAGGCCGGCCTTCTGTCCAAAGATATAGCTAACAATAGCTGTAGGAAAAAAATATCGGGCCAACGAAACTGTCCTCGGACAGCACCCTATACTGAAAGGTAGCCGAAAGGCAGGGTATTCTTCTTCTTCTTCTTCTTATATATAGTCTGATAGAAGAAAGCCTTCTCTTCAAAATGAGATGTCTCCCAGAAATTTCCGATGAGTTTTGGTGGAGATATAAGCAACACTGGAAATGCTCTAAAATAAATGACCTGTGTACAAAATACGCTTTTAAAAAACAAAGACAACATATTTTGTACACAGGTCACTTATTTTAGGGCATTTCCAGTGTCCAACTCTCTGTGCGACCTCAATATACGTGTTTGCCTACTGTGAATCAAATAATTGGCGAGTAGGAAGCAGTTGCTCACGGCTATATCGAATTTATTGACCGCAGCCGCCAAATGCACACATCGATCAATTAAATCGGGCCCTAACATATTGCAACGTGAATCCAAATGACAATGTTCTACAGGATGTAGAAATTGTGAATAAATTAACGAATAATTCAGAATGTAATCCGTTGTTGTGGTCATAATGAGACAATTCAGAAATTGTAGAATTTAGGGCTAGCATCTTCAACAATAGCAAAAGTGAGTTCTGATTTATTTTTGTTGTTTCGATGAAATAAACTGGACACATTGTCATTAATAGTACTATTTTTGAAACAAATTAACTGGATACAGCATTAGGATGATACGAGACTAACACGCCAAAAGATCTTTAAATGACTGGTGTGGTATATTCGACATATTGAGCTTGGTACCCTAAGGCCAAAGCAATCAACTGAAAAACGTTACTTAACATCGAGTTGAATATCCGTGGAACATCACATCTGTAAATATCGTGACCCATTTGAACCTGAAGGGTTGCAATCAAACTTGGACTGTCACGTCTGATGCCATTAATGTTTTCAAAGTAAGAATCAGCACTTCTGCCCGGTATCATTCCTCGATCATTATAGAGTGTTATATTTACAATCAGATCGTCATCACCTGCACTCCAAAATGTGTGACATGAACCTTTTGGTATCAGTAAGTGTTCATTTGCTTGTACTGTGCCGTTCGTGCCATCTAGCATGTATCCCAACGTGCCTTTCTCTACATCAAATCTTTCGTCTTGTTTGAGGTGATAATGCACTGGTGGTGTGCAAGGTCGTTTCAGTGGATGTAGATTTGTCCGAGAATTACCGCACGGACCATCGTGCATTATGGTCTGTTTGATCGTTGAATGGGTATGGTCAGTTTCGTTTGATCGCAACACAAACTCGATAACATCCCCTTTGTGCCACGAATTTACTGGAATTATGCGTTGTCCAGCAGTGTAAGTACGTTGTACAGTGTCCTTACGAATATATATCACAATTATTGATATTAAAATGACAACAATTGAACTCTTCATGTTTTGTTTGAGACTTTACAATAGAATGTGTAGTTGTCAATGAAAATAAAGCACAGGTGATCATAAGATTGATTTATTCATTCGTTCTTATCTCAACATTCACGAAAAAGTACAAGGTGGACTCTTTTGTTTTTCACGTGTTATGTAGCAAGTGGTGATAAGAGCTAAAGATGCATCTGGCTTAAATATTAAAATAGTACAATTGATAGTATGGGAATACTCAATAAAAAAAAAATGAATAGAGTACGTTAGATGCTTTAAACAAAAATATACCTTACTAAACGAAAGTCACGCCACACGTTAGGGAGTATTCATATTTCATACAGATATCTATTTTTCTGCTTCAAACCTACTATTTGTGCCATTTGTTTTGAGTCCCCATACTCAAAATATAGATTCACATGGAAATGAAGAGGCCGAAAATTTCCAGCTAAAATTAGAATAAAACATACTTTATGTGAAAAATGTCGGTTTTATGGAAAACTCAGGAAGTCCAAAAGCAAATACGCATCAATATGCTAACTGTGTAGGCCATTCCGTTGTCACACCTTTTGGCCTGATCGGATTACTGGAACACACAATATGATCTGATCAAGCAAGGAGTACCTTGCTGCTTTCGGACAGATTTTCAAATAGTTTTTTCACAACACATCAACGCAAGCAATGACAGCGCATAAAGAGATTTATTCCAATTGGAAGAACGTCAAAAACTGTATAAACTGACACAGATAAGCTTATTTTTCTGGCAGTAGGAAAGAAGCGTCTTACCAGAAGGAACAGACATTGTGCTTTGCCCCATCAAATAAGAATCTATATTTTCGGCGTTAACATGTACTATTTAAGTAAACAAATTTAGTTTGGATGACTTTATGATAGAAAAAAAAAATTTTCCCATATATGAAAAGCGATGTGTGCTTTTCGACTTCTTGCATCTTTTAGTTTTTAAAGTATAATTGAAATGATAGTCTGTCTTGTTCATTTTAGACTGCAAAACTATATCACTGCTTCACAACTCCAGGTCATAAACGAAAATTATCTGCAGATGCAATTTGCGATAATATAGAACATGATAAATGCCGCAGAGCTGCATCCTGTAAATTATTAAAGAATATATCATGTGTACACATATTCTTTTTTTCTCATTCTTATACACGTAACGAAAACGAAGAAAAGAAAGAATTTGTCTAAAATAAATGTACATTGTTAAAGAATGACTACAGATGAAAACAAAGGAGAGCGAGCACTCATTAAATGTATTAGATATGTTCACAATTATTTGATAGAGTGTCACAATTCTTTCTACATTTAACCTTTTTTGGGGATTTTGATACATAATCCCCCATACAAGGCACGAGAAGAAGAATAAACATTGTCCGCCCGTTAGATGATCTACAGTTTCCGAGATGGTATTTTGCCCGATCAGACAACTGACAACGGTCTGTAGGTGTCCGCAGATAGTAAAGAAGATTTATGTAAAGTTTGTACTATGTTAGTGAGAAGCCTGTTTTCCCAACAACTAGGTTTATTGAAGTCTTACGGAAATGCTGATCTGCATCCATATATGGATAATGTTAACGTAAATTTTCGTGAACCTCACAATAAGTTTTCTAAATGCGAGAGTCTGTCACGCAAAGTTCTCTTCTCCTTTCTACGAAAAGTATTTTGAAATGAAACAAATATTACATAAAGAGTTAGTTTATCAAAATAAATCAAATCATGCAGAATACAACAGATCATTAATGGAAAAAAAATGAGAATTTTGGTCTCTTCCACAACCGACCCAAGGGCAATTTCTCCAAAAAAAAGCTCTTTTTTTATTGAAACGTTTTGTTTTTATTTATAAGACTTTGGTCTGACTAGCGTATGACAATTATCAATACATATTCTCTAACAGACAATTAATAAATCTTACAGTTCGTATAATTAACTGGCTTAGGTAGAGTGCACAAATAATGTCATTGTTTTGTACACGCTCTCGAATCATTATTGTTTTCCTACTCTAATACAATCTACGAATAAAAAGCGGAATGATGTTCAAATAATCTAGGGTAAACAGCTTACAGCACTCATGAATCATGAGTCATGATACTATGCAAAAGTAACAGAATCAAATCTGCTCGCATGCCTGAGAATGTTTTCTGTCAGATTCAGTATCACAAGTATGTGATTTCTCAAAATATTAATCTCCCTTGAGATAGACAAAAATCCTTTTATTTTTGAGTACTGTCAGGGGTTTTGTCAAAGAACTATACTGGTGCTTACTGCTTTTGCTTTTGTTGAAATACAACAGGGTAGTTCCAAAGTCACCCGGTAGTCTTTGATTGCGCTTTTTGGAACACTTCCAAGTGACCTAAAAGTCTGGGGCTAGTCTTATTCAACAGAGACTTAAATTTTCTACGAATTTGGTATTTAGACCTCTGATAGCATTTTTCTCGTTTGAGCAATATTTTCAGTTGTCGAACTGCGTCTTCTTTTTTTGAGATTTTTCATCGATTGTCTGAGGTTCAATATTCAATTTGTCTACATAGATAGATAGAGAATTTTATGCTCTATCGATCTTACTCATTTACAACTCCGTACAATGTTTCTGCTACGTCAACCGGACTCATAATTAGTTCTCAACCGGCTTTTCAATTTTTTCAAATTAAATTAATTTTTTTACTTAATGGTTTCAATTGAGAAATTTTGTTTATATATCAAAAGATGTAGAATTTAATTCTGTGTAAGATAATAAGATTAAAACCCCGGATTCAGAACGCTTTACTGCTATTATAGTTAAAAAACTAAAGTTTGTGAAAAAATAGATTCAAAAGTTAAGGCTGTTTTAGATTTATCAGTTTTTTGCACAGTGAAATTTTCCTAGAAGACTTCACTGCAAAATTTCGAAAACTACGCGAGAAGATGCATAATTTTCCGGTAAATCTTCTGATATTTTCAAAATTCTTATGCAAGGTATTTTTGGATTAAGGCAAATATTTTTCAAAATATTGCTCAAACGAGAAAAATGCTGTCAGAGATTTAAATATCAGATTTGAAAAGAATTTAAGAGACGATTTGCCAGCCCATCAAGAAATCAAGTCACAAGTGAAAAATTGACATATACTTTTTATTTCATATTCGGATTCTACTATCAAAACTGGGATTATGAAAAATAAACAAAACAAAAATCTCATTCGACAGAAACTTAAAAGTTTCTGTCGAATGAGACTAAAACAAGTTTAGGTCACTCGGAAGTGTTCCAAAAATCGCAACCAAAGACTACCGGGTGACTTTTGAACCATCCTGTAGTTTTTCTGTGATCCTATCACTGTTACCAGCTCAAAGAACACGTAGAATGGTAACATAGTTTCTGTATAATTCTATCCACAACCGGGAAGAAATCTGTAATTTTCCTGAAAAGTCAACTTTAATTTACCCTTTGAGTCCCATAGTAGCTAAAAAGCTACACATGTTTTATAATTATTTTTCACAACTTAATTTATAAAAATTAGTACGTAATCTCTTGGAATGAAGCAATGGAGCATTAGCTAATAAATAGCAAATGCACTTATGTGGCACTGTCTGTAAAATAAACTAGGCGAAAATGATTTTGTTAAATCAAATTTCTTTAATTTATCTAAGAATCATATAAGTCTTCATTTCCATTCTTTTCTTAATAATAAAAATATCATATTTAGAATCAGGATCAAAAACTCAGTCGACTGATCTGTATTTCGAAATTTTTAGTTGACTTTAGTTTTGGGTGAAAATCTTGATGATTTTTCAACGTGAAGATTCAAAAAAAACTAAAGTACTCAAATGGGATAGGGATACGCATCAGTCGATTCATATTTTCATCCTGATTCCGAATATGATATTTTTATTGCATAAAAGTTGAGTTCTGGTGGAGAAAATTGAGAATTACGAATTAAATTCAAACCAGCAAAAAAAATTTGGGACTCAAAGGGTTAAACAGTACTAAGAGAACAACTATATATTCTTCGTTCAATAAATCAGTTAAGTTTTCAAAAAAGAATGGTGATGAAAATTCCTTTTTATTTTTTATTTTAGCAAATCCTTTCTGAGATTTTAGGAACTTTTTCTCATAATCCACGTGTTTTAATTATTAATCATAAACTCGTACAATTTTTCTAAAATTACTACTAAACCTAAAAGGGTTTAGCAGTAACTTGACAGAACCATTTCGATATTAAAAACTACATTTCTTTTTAAAAACTATGCTTGATTGTAATGTTTAAATTATGGGAAACATGCACTGTGGGGTTTCACTGTGAGTTTTCAATAACAACTTAACAAGTAGTGAACAAATTCAATAAATAGTTTCATAAAAAGTTGAATGAAATATATTTCTGTTTTCATTATATATATATATATATATGAAGTAAACGCGTTTAAAAAAAAGTAGTTAGGCACAATGACTTCCCTGATCGTATTTTCAAAAAGTAGAATATATCGTATGTTTTCCATCACCTATTTTTCTTGTGAAATAAATGATGTGTAAAATTTATTTTAACGTTAGTATAGGATAGTAAGCACATTTTTTTCCCATGTGTTATTCTCCTTTGTCATTGAATATTATATAGCGATTTGAAAATGAAGACGGAGAAATCAAAAAAAGAAATATATATATATATATTTTTTTCCTGTTGACAAGATTAACTTTGCCACGCGTACGATGTTTATAAAAACAGAAAATCTAATACAAGTACATTATCGTAAGCATAATTATATTCACTAAGAAAAAAAAAAAAAAACAAAACGAAGAAAAAAGAACGGCAAGAAATTTCTGACTATTTTTTTTTTTTCTCTTGTTTCACCAAGAAACGCAGTCCTTAATAAATTGCCATATCTGCATGTTATTAAAAAGATGCGTGTGATTGTTTAAAACAGCATTTTATATACATGTTTTTTGTTCTCGAGAAAAATCTATAATTTCAAAAATAGAATATTAAAACCGTTTATTCACTTCATAAAGACAACGACTATGTTAAAATTTACACAATTAGTTAGCGAGCAAAAAAGGTAAAGAAACACAAAATGTCTTCTCATTATCGAGTAAATAAGATAGTTATGCATTTTAATCTAGAAAAAAAAAGCTTTATATTCATATCAATCACATTCTTACACGATCGTCTATTTTTTTTTAATTAAAAATGTATTTTAGAAAATTATTAATCGCAATCGAGTGATAAATTATGTACTACTTTATCATAAAACATGCAAATATAGTGTTCGAACATACTTTGCAATGGTCAAATATGAAATTAAAACTGTGTATATAACACAATTGGAGTTAGACAGAATTATTTCAGAAGAATACGATTTCTTTTTCGCATTTCATCTATCAAATATTAAAAATCATTTATAGTTTTAAAAATTTTCTTTTATCACATCTGACTAATAAATAATTGAGATTATCAAATGGAAAAGGTGAGAGAAAACGAATAGATGAAAGAAAAAACGTGAGATATGCGTGTCGAATTTTGTTTTCTTATTTCGGAACGTAAGTTATGGTTTTAATCTTAAAAACGATTGCACGCATATTCAAAGTGACTTCTCGTAAATAAATCTCAATATTCGATGACTTGACATTCCTAAAGATTGTATCGTACGTAAAGTGAGACAAATGGAAAATGCTTCATTAATTCCATCTAGATATTTTGTTTAATTGTGGAACGTACCATTTGATAATTTGTTCCCAAAAATTAAACGATTGTAGCTAATAAGAACAGTATGTGTGTCTTTACTTCATAATTCTCAGTATTTTACTTATAAACAGTAAATTTTGCAACAATAATAGGAATATTTTGATTTTCTTGTGATAGTGTTTATTTTTGTACAGTTGTCGAACGTGTTTTTTGGTTGAAAAGGTTATTTTTTATACTTTGTCTATGGAAAAACTTGTTTAAAACCTCAGAAAATTGACTAGTTTTACTTCGAAAGTGTTTATCTCCCTTTTGAAATTTTCGATGTAGCAATCCTGATGCAGAATTATTTTAATTAATTTTGAAAATGGACAATTGGTTTCGATCGGAAGCAGATTTCTACAAGGGAGACTTTTATTGCTCCAATCCCGTCCATAGAGAACATATGAGACGGGATTCGAGATCATCCCGCAAGAGATTAGACTAAAGCACCATATAAGTACGATTGACCTCGCTTTGTGTTCGTCTGTATGACTTCCTTCCAAATACTCTTCACTATACGTTTATCAAGTGGCGCATTCTTTTTCACCTACCATAGAAAGAGTAAAAATAAAGTAAAGAGGTCAAGAAAAGTAAACGACAGATAGTTCTCTGATTCGTCTTCTCTTTTTTGAATGGAAGTGTGATTCATCACTACACGAACGCCAACCATTTATTTATTTTCGCTAAGAAAGCAACACAGATTCATTATTTTGTGCAATATTGTAAGGTAAAGTCGGAAACCATAATTCGTAGTGGTTGAAAACAAGCACATAATATTCCGCTGTTACGTACATACCTTATCATATCTGTTTAGGAGTCCAATTTAAAATATTTTATACAAACAAATATTTTTCCAGATTATATTTGTTGTTGCTCTATTGATGGCATTCCACGGGTAGCATTTTAACATTATTTATTTTTTGACCACAAGGCGCTCGAATGGTCCACACTTATATAAAAGTGGTTTTTCAAAATACTGATACCTCAGTAGAAGCATTCAATTGGGAATATATAGTTAGGTCATTATATCAACTTTAGTAGGAATAACTCTGTGAAATAGCGATTCACTTGTGAACTGACATAGTACATTAGTTGATTTCTAACCTGCCTCATCATGAGTTTATCTTTCCTGAGTAATACCATAGGAGATCCGAGGAAATGTGTGTTCTGTCGGCTTTTCTAGAATCACGTGTTTGCCTTTCAAGTTTTCTGTCTGATATGAGAAAAAGAGAAATGTATGTTCGGCATCTTATGTTCGATGAAACGTGTTCATGTTGCTCAACATTCTGTTTTGACGGTACATGTTGTTATTTTTGTTCTTCTCTGACATCTCATACGTATTACCCGTAGTGTTGATATCTTTCTTTTCTTTTTTGGCCGTTTCAAATGAAAAACCAGGAATGTCAAACTAACTCATTTATATAAGTTCTTTCAGAAGAAAATCTGAGACTTGGTGGCCAAAAAAATTAAAAATGAATAAAAAAAGATAATGTTTCATCTTTTGTAATGATGAGCAAGATTCAATAGTCTGTAGTTTTAGAAATTTGAATTTGTTTTCCCCAACAGCATCTTTTGGTACATATCGTTCCGAAGAGCAAATTTGTATAATTTTTCTAGTTACACGCGTTAAAGCAGAAAGCGTTTTCCAAGACAAGATTCATTTGTAGCTTGAAAAAACAACGACTATTTTCTCAGAACACAGAAACGAGAATTAATTCTCATACGGTTCATATAGTTATATCTCTCTTCAGTTTTCTAGACTGTGGTTTTTTCCAAAGATTTGTAACACCACTCTTAATCCCATAACTGTGTGTCTAATACAGCTGACTTGATCGTATAGGTTAAATTTTTGATTTTTTCTTTACTTGAATTTTTACTTAGAGCTTACCAGTACCAGATACTATAAGTGTAGCAGAACTGAACGAGCATCAGTACAAACATTTTTTATCCGACACTTGATCGATATTCGACGAACTTTATTCGATTAATTTTTGTTTTTCGAAAAAATAAACTTAGATGTAAATATATAAGAATAAAAGAGAAAAATGCCAAAGAAATTGTGTGTTTGTTGAAGAAAAAGTGCATAAATAAATTTCCTGATTAAATAAACGCGTTGTAATTAAGGTAATAATATGTGGAACAATTAAACAATACATTTAAATGTATAAGAAAACAAAATTATAAGAAATTTGATTGAGAACATACGCAACAACGATGGTACAAAAAAATAATAAAGATAAACACTTATGAATGAAACTGGAGGCAACATAAGAGTAAAAAAATCGTTCATTGTTGAAAACTAAAAAAGAGAAAATTCTATGGGGAATGAAAGAGTACTGTTACTCGAGTACGGTTGTACTCGCGCAGTTTTGAAAAAAAGTACATTGTATTGCAGTGCTTATTTGCTGTTTTAATTAGTGGAAGCATTTGTCGAGCGCTAAAACTTGCATCACTATATGAAAGTATACAGTAATTGAATACATCATTATCTATTTTCCTTAATATCGTTATCTTCTATTTGTAGATAACTGCCCATTTATTTGTTAAACAAAAAATGAGTAATTCATACATAGTTGAAAAGATTTTGGCTAAGCGGAAGAATAAAACTAGTGGTAATGAAGAATATTGTTTGAAATGGAAAGGATATCAAAGAACAACTTGGGAGCCAGCCAAAAATCTTACCAATTGTAAGCAATTATTAGAAGAATTTGAACAAAATCAGAGCAAAGTTGAAACACTAAAAGCAAAATCAACATTAAAAAATACCACTGAAAATAATGGTACATCAATTCCTCATACACGTTCTCAGAATAAAACACCTCAATTAACAATATCGACTTTAAATGGACGCTATAAACATTTGAAAAATGATGATAGTTTAACATCGAACAATAATATCAAAAGTAATTTCAAATGTTTTTTCTCAAAAAAAATACAAAAAGGATTTTTATGTATTGTACAAATTAAATCTACTAATACTATCAGTAATTTGACTGTGCCAGATCCGATTTGTCTTGACCATAACGTGTTCGTTGCAACTTCAAGTGAACGTGTCTTAGTCTTGTCTATTTTAGGAGAGCTTAGAAAACGTCGCATTGATAATATACTAAATAATGACAAAAACCCTTCAACATCGTCGTCAAGAACAGCAGCCACAAGTGATGTTCATAGTAATATAGTTGATTCATAACTATTTTAATTTTTTCTTGTTCTAATTGTTTGAGATATCAAATTTAGAGAAGGATATGGTGTTAATTACAGATAGACTAGTCGAAAAAAGCCCTTGTAGATTGCTGCTGATTAATCTGGAATCAATTAGATTCAATTATTCCTTTTTATCGTTTATTGTAGCTAGTCAATCTCGAAAACGACGTTTTGTTGAAAGTGTAGATAGTTTAAATGGTATGGTTCCAACAGTTCAAGAAGATGGTGATAAAACAAAAAGATCTCTAACAAGAGTAACATCAACGCCTGCTGATATTGTTTCTTCAACTGATCCAAGTCCATTTGATACATTGAAGCTTGAAATAGAACAAATTTTAGATGTTCGCACAATCGATAGAGATGGTACTTACTACTTATGTAAATATAAAAAAACAAGGCAACAACCTCAATGGATACATAAAAAACATTTAAATTCTATTATGGAAAAAGTTGTCGATTTTTGGGAAGAAAATCATCATGACCTTAATCGCACTTAATTTGTTTGAATAGATATTGTATTTGCAATAAGATGGATGTGTGTGTTTTTGTATGGTTACATTTTCCATTATTGTACGTTTTGGAATAGGAGAGTCACGTTTTAGCTTTCTATAGCTTTATGCTATAAGAATTAAAAATACCGAAAAAACTGTTCTTTATGTTGTAATAATCAGTGCTGAGATGCTGGTATTTCCTGAAAATAGTAATAGAATATGTTAAGGTAATTCTGGATAGACTTTTTAATTTTCACAGTATTTTAAGCGCACCTGAAGAAATAAACGACACTTCATAGACGGTTAGATCGGACATTCTCCTATCTACTAATGCAAAAATCTTGCTAAAACTCAAAAAGATTAATTAGCGTTCATTAATTTTAAAAATCCAGCAAAAATAGTCGGAAGAAAGTAAAAAACTTTTTATCAATGGCAAAGTTTTATCTTTCTAATTAAAAAATTATATCATCTTGTACAGAATTTTGAGCTCTAATGCCTTGTAAATTGCTAGTCCTTTAAACATATCCTTGATTAATTAACTAGAAATTACGAATACAGTCACTTTTTCCATTTTCGTGTTTGAAGTAATTATGAGCACTTAGCTATTTTTGTGTTGGACTGTCTAGAATTATTCCAACGAGATACGCTGACTGTTCATAATTACTCCAAATGCGTTTAATGATGGACATTTGATAGGAGATCGCTGAAGATTGATAACTACTAATTAATCTTATTTAGCTTTAACAAGATTTTTACATCAGTAGATAGGAAAATGTTTGATCTATCTGCCAGTGAAGTGTCGTTTGTTTCCGAATGCTTCAGGTGCGCTTAAAACACTGTGAAAATTGCTCTATTTTCTTTTACAATG